ATTGCAGGGATAAAAACAACCTAATCCCATTGTGACTAGCTAGTTTGATATTGATTTGTTCGAGGACAGGGCATGATTACATCCAGATGGCTTGAGATGGGTTTGCTATCAGCCAATTCTATAATGAGTATTACTACATGTACTCCTAAATTCTGTTGGGTAATATGGTTGAAAATTCTCAAAAATAATAATCCTACGAAAAGATTAATATTATATGGGAAAACAGAAAGAATTGGGAAGGAAAAGGTTGAGTGTTTGGGTAAAGGTTTAGCATGAGTTCGAACACAAAGTTCTTTTTCTTAAAACCTTATTTGCTACCTCCCACAAGTGCTAGGAGCGTTGTAGCCTAGGTTTCCCAAGATAAAACGTGCTACGATTCCTTGTTTAAGCACCTAAACAAGGAACCCGGCAAACAAAGCGAAGCTTAGAACACTGGTTGGCTAAAAGAAGAGAGTAGAAGCAGAGTTTTGAGATGAAAAGCTACTGGAATTCCTTTGTTTCTCACTGTGTGTAAAATGGTACTGCTCTACCTCTCTTTATATAGGGATGTTGGAAGGGATAGCATTCAACATGGCCTTTAATTGGTATTAAACCAATTGTATAACACCTGTAACGGTCACCCACTAAGTAGGATTAAACTCAGATTTAAAATTGGAATTAAAACAGTATTAATTCCGTAACAGATGAGTTTAATCTGTACAATAGGCTGAACTTTCGGGTTTCAGACCGTTGGAGTGCAGGTTCACACGAGAGCACACGGACCAGCAACACGAGAGTACATCTCTCGTGCTCACTGTGGTGCAACCCGAGAGTGCACCACTCTCGTGGTCACAGATGCACGAGAGTTGTGCTCTCGGTGCATGCTCCTCTGTAGCACGAGAGTAGGTGCTCTCGGTTCGGTTCCGGCCGAACCAAGTGACTATACCAGTTGGAAAATGATATAGCCCGTAAGGCCAGCCCATTACTGGACGACATTCGTGCCCGCAGAGAGTTGTGCTCTCGGTGCATGCTCCTCTGTAGCACGAGAGTAGGTGCTCTCGGTTCGGTTCCGGCCGAACCAAGTGACTATACCAGTTGGAAAATGATATAGCCCGTAAGGCCAGCCCATTACTGGACGACATTCGTGCCCGCAGGTGCCGGCGCACGCGAGCTCGGGCTTGATTTCAAGCCTTTTTGATGTCCTCTAGTTGGATTTTGATTTGCACCCCCCCCCCTCCCACGCGAGAGAGCCTCTATACTATACAATTCTACAAGCTTGAAAAGAGCTCATGTATATAAGGGGGGCAAATCTTGTTTCCAAACCAATGTGGGACAAAGTCTTACATTTTCCCTTCATTTCCCAACTTAAATGGTTCTACTTTGGGAATCAATATCTCATTCACCCATTATCCGTTTTGAGCGTACAATATATCAATCTCTTCGTCTTACTACGAAGAATCCGAATCCACTTTGACCCGACCCAAATCGGAAGTGGACCCCACTGATAATTGTACCACAAAATAGCCACTTAATATGTTATTTTATGCCATTTTAAGCTAATTTTTCCAACAAATTCTACTCCATCACTTGTATTCCATAACATGACAAATAAAGATTGACTATTTTCATCGGATCTCAAAGAATGTGTCTACATCAAAAATTTGTGAGAGGGAGTATAAATTAGGAGTAAGAAATGTGAGTGCATGTAGTATTTTCCTTCTATAATTCACAACTGTGCTACCTAAGTAACTATGTATAAATAGGTTATAGGTTCTAAGATACAGGGCATCATACTATACTGAGCTCATTTGAAAAACAAGGGTCGGTGCATCTTCATCAATTTGTGTTTTTCACAATTTTTAAGATGTCAACTAAGATAAAGCACCAAGAAAAAAGGAAAAAAAAAAACAAATAAAATAAGAAAAGCGAAAAAAAATGTAGGTGTTTTACGTGTCCGGTCAGTTGGCGCATAGAGTGCACATGCCTGCTGGGTGCAACAGATGCGCCTAACGTACACCTATTGTAAATTTTTGATTTTTTTTTGTGAGTTTCACAAAAAGTCACAATTTGCAATATGTATTTTTCTATTATCTCTCCTCTCACTTCTGTCCTCCCCCTAATTTTAAAATCAGAAAATACTCTCAAAAAACTCCTCTTGGAGTTACTTGATTTGCTCCACATAATTACTGTCCTATTAATTTATCTAAATTAATTATGTGTTAATTTGTATTAATATCGTCATTTTGAATGTAAAATGTTTAAAAATGCATTTCGATTTGCCATCGTTGCAGTTTTCTTTTGTATAAGTTTCCTCCATATCTTATGGTTGAAGTGAATTTCTAATAAAAGTTGTTTTCCACCAATAATGTAATAATTAATATTATTGATATCAGAATCGTGGCCCCAAATCCGTAGTGAAAGTGTAGTATGATTTTGGCATCTTTATAGAATGATTAACATATTAGATATTAGTCATGGGCATGGTGCCGATTAGGCTATATCCTATAATTTTCCTTTTCCTTTTATTTTTTTATTTTTTTTTATCACAAAAGAATCTGTAGTCACTACATGAAGATGTGCATTAGATCTAGCTCGCTCATATTACAAACCATATGTTGGCATAGTATTAAGTTTCCTCCTTATGTTGGCATAGTACAATTATTAAATTGGTGAGTTGTTAGAGTTGAGTATTAAAAGCTCAAGTCCCCACTTGATTCGTTGCTAAAATTACTCAAACTTGAGACATAGTAACTGAGTTAAATTCAGATATTTACTTAATCAAATTCACATAATTTATGAATAATTTTTGTTATTTACATCCCTAAGTTTTGCAATAGAGAATTGACTGTGTTTTTTTTGTTTGTTTGTTTGTTTTAGGACACTTTGTAAACCATATAGACATAGTTGGCCTACCACAAAAGTAATAATGATGATGCTTCATTTTCATGAGATGACTCAGCCGTCTGCAATTCTGGAAATATTTGGCTTTACACTCACAGTTGGTATGGGCATAGGTATACCTATCTACTCTCAAAACACCAATGCTCAATATACACTCTCTGGTTATGAAAAATGATAAACGTGCTGGCAGTTCGCGTCAAACCAAAGTAACTTCTCACTCGAAACCAGATGTTATATATTTCAAATGGACAACTAAACTTTTACACATTGTACGGTTGAATCATAAAAAAAAAAAATACAATTGAATCATTAAAAACTCAAAAAATGTATAAATAACATTTTTTACAAGTTTCACTCCAATATGATGCTATAATGCATTCAAAAAAATTATATGATGCCATAATGTCAAATTATATATATAAATCATTTGATTTTATTATTTTTAAAAATAAAAATAAATTCTTTTAAAAAATTTTTAAAAGAAGGTGGAGGTAGCATGGCGGCCTCCAGCTTCTTCTACTGTGGATGAAGAGGGAGGCATCCACTCCATTTTCTTCCGATCTGAATGAAGGAGAGAGCAGCTAAAGTTGTCCCTCTTTCGTTAATTTGAATAAGATTATAAAGATGATAAAATACTCTCTTATAAAATATTAAAAATCTTTAATTAAATTAAAAAATACCCACTTCATATTTTCCATGTATATGTAAATAAAAAAGAGTAGGAATAAGGGTCAAATAGGCCATTAAACTCAAAAAGAATGCAATTAAGCCATTGAACAACACAAAAACATGCAATTTATCTCAAAATGACTTGTTTACCTAGAGTAGCAAATTACCAATTTCAAAATTAATTTTTTAAAATAACTTTTAATAAATAAATAATTAAAATATTAATAAATAAATAAAATTTAAAAAAAAAAAAAAACAGAAACTGATGCCCGGAGACGAATCGTCTCCGGCCGGCTTTGTCTCCATGGCCGGAGGCGAACCTCCGTCTCCAGCCATGGAGACAAAGACCTTCGTTTCCATGGCTATGGAGACGAATCGTCTCCGGCCATGGAGACGACGTCCTTTGTCTCCATGGCCAGGGAGACGAAGGGACGTCCCTTCGTCTCCCTGGCCATGGAGACGAAAGTCTTTGTCTCCATGGCTGGAGACGGAGGTCCGTCTCCGGCCACGGAGACGTAGCCGGCCGGAGACGATTCGCCTCCGGCTGGAAGTTTTTGTTTTGTTTTTTTTTTTTTAATAATAATTTAATTATTTATTTATTAAAAAAATTTTAAAAAAATTAATTTTGAAATTGGTAACTTACTACTCTAGGTAAACAAGTCATTTTAAGCTAAATTACTTATTTTTGTGTTGTTCAATGATTTAATTGTATTTTTTTTAAGTTTAATGGTCTAATTGCACTTTGGTGTGCAGTTGAGTAGCCTATTTGACCCTTATTCCAAAAGAGTAAAATCTATGGAGCAGGCAGCAGATCAGAAGCTCAAAAATATGAAGGCCCTACCAAATAAAATCCCTTTCTTTATTTAAGCATTGGAATGATAAGAGGGGCCAGGTAGTTAAGCTTTTCATTTTTATCACGGGTCGGGCCCCCCTCTGCTTTCCTTCACAGATCCCATAGAGGCTAAGATAGCCTACTCATCTACTGTGTTTTTTCAGGAATTTATTGATACTGGGACCCTCTATTTAAATCACGTACCGCACAGTATCTTCAATTCATCTTTCATCACTTTGTTAGTTTCACCTACTTTTTTTTTTTTCCTTAGTCATCTCGAACTACTCACTCATTTTGACCCTCTTAATCTAACTCTAATGTCGTAGTGACACGTGAGGTGTCAATTCGTAATTTAATAAAATTTAATGTACATTTGTGCATTTTTCGGCGACTAATTATGCAACATGAAACAGTCGGTAAAAGAATATCAATAACTCAATATATATTGAGCATGCAGTCACATTGTGAGCATTATGTTCTTTATCAGATTGGAGTAAGGGATATTGAGATTGGAGATTCAACATGTTTGAGGGAAGAAGAGTATAAAGCTAAGAAAAAAAAAATTTAAACCTATTATATTGTTGTGAGAAAACATATTATTATTATTAATGCTCAAACCTTATAATAGCGTAAAACAAATGCATATTTTAATGGACACGTAGACGTAGAAAAGTGCATATTTTACACAGGCTACAATATAATCGAGAGTTGATACAAAATTACGTCGTAACACACGCTTTAATTTTATGCTTCTTTAATTTATACATGTGTAATTCATCACACCCCGCCCCTGGCCCCTGCCCGGAGGTCCATATTTCAGAATTGATCTGATCGTGATAACGTAACTAGTGGCGGTGGTGAAGGCACTCGACGGGAGGAACGGGGAACCTAGCGGTGTCGGTGCAATAATTGTAGACCATATGTTTTGCGTGAGTCCACATGAGCTGGTGGCTCTGGTGGAGTGTGAGGGCGGAAAATGTAGGGTCGTTCCACCAGTGCCGCCGCTTCTCGCCGTTAACGTTGCTGCTACTACTGCACCGCCTCATGTTCTCGGCGGCCGCCACCGTGGCCACGCACTCGCAACCGTCAATCTCAAAGCCCTTGTAGGAGGCAACGAAGGGTGCGTGGCTCCAGTCCGTCTTCACCCTGCCACCTTGTGTGGCCCAATCGTCGGCGTTCCAAATTGAGCTGTACACGCCCATGGCTTGGTCCCTTGGAAATGGTAGACCCTTGTGCTCCATGTTCGTGTGCACACGAATTGGTATGTCGTCAACTAGGAATCTGCATATATATATATATATGACACGTTGAAAACACTTCAATTCATTAGCAGGCAAACGTTGGTAGATTCGAACGACCAAAAAGCTAAGGTTATTGTCGGAAATGCAAAACAAGATTTAATTTTGAGTGATAGCCTCTCCAAAACTGACTGATTCAAACTAAGAAAGTTAATAAGCTGTTTACATTGAGAGTTAAACTTGTAATAATCGTATAGTTATTAAGTTAGAGCTCGACTAAGGCTATCATTGTCTTGGAAAACAAGAATTTAACTTACACTACACGGTGTTGAGTCCAAAAGATGGAGTAACGATGGAAGTCCTTGGTTGGGTCAAACCACAAGCTGAATCTTTGCTCTCTATTGCCCACACCATTGACGTAGACATTGGTCTGGAGAAGATAAGGTTCACCGGTGGTATTACCCAGGAACTCGAAATCAAATTCATGATGTTTTGGACCATCCGACGACATCTGCAACATTCGGTCAAGAAAACAGAATGTAAAAAGATATGTCTGCAACTAGTAATTAAAGTTGACATGCAAAGCAATTATACATTATTATTCAAAGTAAAGCCAAAAAAAAAAAAAAAGAAAAAAAAAAGTAAAGAATGACTTTTGGTGGACGTTGAATTGATGCTGACATGAAGGCCTGAATTGATTAAATTATTAATCTACTGATATATATATATATATAGACTAGCACATATCAGATTAATTACAGAAAGAGAAATCCTGACAGTTTCAATGTGGGAGCTGAATTACACCTAACATAGTGAGCTCTTTTAAGAGCTAGGCATTGATCATTCCACGTAATGGGGATGCTGAATCATAGTTTTTAAGAACTAATTAAGAAAAATAATTTAACTTTCTGTAATATATTATCGGCCAGTATTTAGTGGATATAGCAGCAGGGAAGCACAATACCTACAGTCATTATTATTATTATTTTTTTATTTGAATATATTAATTATTAAAGTATTGGATAATGATTGTGGCCATGTAATAATAAATTTGTTTTTCTGAGTGATCGCCACGTCATGATTAACAGGTGGCAAGCTAAGGAACCAAGAAGCTCACATAAAAGGCAGTAACAGTGCCAGCAGAGTCACCCTCTACAAGCTTGATCTGAGCGGTGACTTTCCCAAACATGTATTTGCTCTTGGAAGAGAAACCAGCACCTGCAAATTCCAACCATATTACAATAAAGCTTCTAAATTGATAAATTAATGTGAAATTGATGATGATGATGATGGGAGAGATTGAATATAATGAAGTACCAGAATTGGTGTCTAGCTTCATCCTGAGAACCTCTCCTTCGTAGAGAAAATGATCCAGAGCCCAACTCGGCTGAAAGAACTCATCAAATCTTGAGGTTGATGATGATGAGCTCATCACCAGACCCAACATCACAAAAACCGCACAAACACCCATTAACGTTGGAAAAGAAAAAGGAGCCATTTTTCGCATGTCAAAAATGTGGTATGAATTTCAGAGAGAAAGTGTGAAGCCAATCTGCAAAAGATGTGAAGAGTGTGGTGGCTTTTATAGCCAGCCAGATGGAGAGATGGGAATGCAGAGTGCCACGTTGTTCATGTATGTACATGTATGTATATGTCATGGGTTCGAGTCTTAATAAAAGTAAAATGTGCCATTAACACTAACAGGTGATAGGAGGAAAAAGTCTTACAATTGTTGACTGAGGCGTGAAGGGTCAAATCCAACATCCTATCTTAAAAAAATCTGACAGGATGATATAACCTGAAAAAAGTTACACTTTCATTACAAGATATAATTTTTAGTGTTGTGATAAATGCTATTGATTTTAATAAACTTCAATCAAATTAATTAAGCAATTAATTTAATAAGTATAATTTAATTTACCTTTTTAAAGTGATTGTAAATTTTTCTTCTCATCTAAACAAATTAACTTATTAACCAAGTAATATTATTTTTGTTTATTTAAAATTTGATCAATTGTGTGTCAGTAAAAAATATATAAAAGTCAGTATATTTCACTCTCAAATTTAACACACATCAATTACTTTACTTTTATGGGAAATATAAATTATTCACTATAAAATTAAATACTATAGCCGTTGTGAAATTTTGATTACCTGGATTAAAGTCGATGGACCGGCCCCATCAGTCGGTGCCAGTCAATAAGGTGAAAAAGGGAATGATTTGCAACAATCCTTCCACTGTACCTGTTGAAATGTCATTACTGGAAATTATGGAATTTTCGACCACTGAAAATGATCTTAAATCAAGTAGAAAGTCTTGTTCCGACCACTTTTAACATTCGGAAAAATCTTTGTTGCTATTTCTGACCACTTTTTGCTTTCATCTTGATTTAAGATCACTTTCATATGATAAAAAATTCCATAATTTTCAGCAGTGTGTGTGTGACTACATTACCCGTTATTTTATAATTTTTTTTAATTATTATAATGTTGGAGGCATCATATCAATATTTTCTAAAAGTTCAACTTTAATTGATTTCAAATCTTACCATAAAGCAACTTGTTTAGTAATTGATTTATTGTAATCAATATAAGGTGCACAATACGCACATATATAGCTGATACAAATGCTTCATTCAAAGGCTCTAAGCCTACATATATAGAGCTAAAATGTCACTTGGGTGAAAATTGAAATTTACACCTTTATTAAAATAATTATATTAAGGTTTTTTTTTTTTTTTTTTTTTTTTTTTTTTTTTTTTAAAGGAAGAGGATATCCTATTATATCAAATGCCTCCCCTCAAACCTATCACCTCCCACATAAGAGAACAACATAGTACCATTGGACTACAAGTTCCTTGGTTATTATGGCTTATTTTACAGTACAACTATAAATTAGGGATTACAAATAGCGTTTCCACCTACAAGAACTAATTTCCAGTATAATTAAAAAAGAAAAACAGAAATGCGGTGGAAGTACTATTATTTGATATATGATTCCAAGTTTATTTGTGCTTGCGTGCCTAAAAAAAAAAAAAGCATATGACAATTAGTCAACCGGACTAACTCTCAAAAAAAAAAAAAAAAAAAAGTCAACCGGACTAATGATAATTGACGCAATCTGATCTTTTGCTCTAACATCAGGATCACTATGAGCGTCTCCATACTGGTACTGGCACAAAGCAATTCGAGCAAGATTTATAGCAGTTTCTGTGAAGGATTTCTCAAATGGTGAAGTTGAAGCCGCTATCAGCTGTTTGTTCATCTTCTTAAAGGACTCGTCAATTAGTTTACTAATGTGTTCCCGAGCTTGCTCCTCCGACAATCCAGTTTCGTTCATGTAGCAGGTAATCGAATTCACTGTTTCACCTCTCTCTATTTCAGCCTGCAGCAAATCATTCAAATCTTATCTTATTGATATTATATATTTTACATTACATATATGATATATATACCAAACCCAGAATATAATCTACCTTAGAGGAGCTCAAGTCGTTAGCCAGGCGGAAAACTATGGACGGCAATATTAAAAGGTCATGGTAGTTTTCCAAGGAATGAATTGCTTCCTTTGTGATGTTGTGGGTGGTGGAGAAGTAGGAGTGAACTAACATGACACAACCAGACACAGAAAAACGTGCATTGTTGAGGTATTCATCAAATGTAGGAGTGTATTTGTTATTCATCCATTCTGCTTCTTGCAAGAATGCTTTCAATAAATCTGCCCACTGCAGAAATCATCAATAATAAAATGCATGAATCCTCAGCTCAGATCAGATTTAATATTCAAGTTGACACACGTATAGTATACATGCACGTACCACTTTCTTCATGATAGGAATGACATTTTCTCCTTTGTCCTTTAAGGTATCATATGCTAAGTCATTGACAGTGTTGAAAAGAGAAAGATAGCACAACTTCATGTAGTCCGGAAGGTCTTTTATTGCATCAACATCCCATCTGAATTAGAATACTAAATTATTGATGAGGAACTGAAAACTTAATGGATTCCCAATTTGTTGCGTGGAGACCTGAAGGGCCAAGTCCAGCACAGGTGGCTAGATGACTGTTGGACTGTTACGTGGTCTGAATGATCAAGGCCAGTACCCTCACTAGTACAGAAATACACATCCGCTACCCTTGTAAATGACTATCCGCTACCCTTGTACAAGAGTAGCGGATGTTAGGGTCGCAGAAAGTCCTGGGCTTTCCGCTACCCTTTAAAAGGGTAGCGGAAAGTTGAGTATCCACTACCCTTCTAACTGTAGAAGGGTAGGGCATATTATTATTATTCTTTTTTTTTTCGTAATCTTCCACTACCCTTTCTGGGAAGAAAGGGTAGCGGATGGTTTACTTTTTTACAAAAAAAAAAATTATTTATTATTTTTAAAATTCCCAATTATTTTAAAAATCTTGTACACCGAATTCATAAACTACATATCAATACAATATTATGAACACAATATTATCAATGCACTTTCAATATAATACTATCAATACAATATTTTATATCAATCAATCTCAATACTTTCATCACAATAATAAATTATAAACACAAGATAATATTTAATCTAAAATAAAAGTTAAAAATAGACTCCACAAGACATTTTGATCACAACTGTGATGTCTGCTACTACCTGAAGTGTTCGCATATTATGCGAGCTTAAGGTAGTCTTAAAGGCACTTGAAAGAACATGTAAGGTTTTGATCATTTCAGGTTTCTTCTTCACATACATCCTTTTCAAGAAGTTAGCAGCAAAGCTCATGGCATATCTGCAGCAAAAGAACAGTGTTGATAAGCAATTTTCACTTAGAAGAGCAAGAAAAAGTCATAACAAAAACAGTGGTATGGCGAGGGCTTAGTTAGTTATTAACAACATCGGTTAACCAAGTATAGAATCAAAATTGTGACATAAAACGTGACACAAGTAGAAAGGAAAGGGCAATGAGGAGAAATGCAGACACAGCTACTTACGTCTTTGCAAGAAGAGGGAGTAGTTGTCTTTGATGGCTGGGGTAATCAAGCAATAAAACTTCAGGTCCATTTGGTGTGACTGAAAATGCTCCCATTGTCAATGAGTATCTTATTGCAATTGCTATGCCCACCTGATGAATATCCAAGTCTTATTACATAACAGTTCTAATTTTATACTTATAAATCTTTCAGAAATACTAAATCAGAGAAGAGTAATGTGTTTTACTTTTGCTGAGTAAGTTACAATGGATGGTATGCTTACATGCCCGGTCCAGTTGGTTCAATTCTCGCGGGAATATATAATGCATTCGATTCAATGGTGTCGGAACAATAATGCATTCAATTCAATATAATAAAAATGAAAAATGCAGATTGATGGTCAATAATTACCTCAGAAATTCGAAGAGCTGTTTGAACAACATAATTGGCATGTGGGTCCTGAAGCAGCTGCTCAAAGTGAGTTGCAGAGACCAGTTCATGGATTATCTTTGACTGGACCTTATAGTCGCATACGATAAGGCATTTTTAAACGACATGGTTGCTGAACTTCTGTGTTAAGAGATGCACAAAGTTACCCTCAAAGTGAGATATTAACTTGGATATCACAGATGGTATCTTAAGCTCCAATATGAACTGAACAACATAATTTCTGCACAGAAACAGATAAACAAAAAGTCTTAGTTAAGCCAGAAATGATGAACTAACAAATTAAAATATAATCCTCTGTCACAGTGATGAACATGGGTGCATCTATAAGACTAACAATGAAAAAAAAAAAAAGAAGAAGCTTTGATGGCTCAACTCTCAGAAGGTGGGTGGATCTCATCAGATGAATAATCTTATATATCAAGGACAAAGGTTGTATGAAAATGAATCTGTGAAATTGAAGTGTTCAGACGGTATCATGCATTAAGGAGAGCCAAAATAGTTGTAAAAAATATAGAATAAAAGGTGAGAGGCACGATATTCTAAACAAGCCCTTGATGGCAAATACATAGAAATTTAGAACTCAGCCCTCCATAGCATTTAAGATGTATACTACTGGTATAAAGAATCTTATATGTTATGCAAAAAAAAGGTTTGTCTTGAGTCTTTTCCATTGTGATTTATTACCCAAATACATCCTGAGCTAGAAGAAGTCCATTGGCAGAAATTTCTGCAACCAGGTTTTCCCGATATTCTCTAGTAGCATGGGCGATGCATCTTTGAATAACACAACACCCATGTTGATGTGTTGCAATATCAACGCAGTACTTTGCAGCTGCAACAAATATGAACTGCCAAATTTGGAATGAATTAGACAAGACAAACTAGGAACTAATTTTGTTATTCTCGAAGGAATAATTCTGATCATATAATAAGCCATCAATAATTATGAACTGTCATCTTCTAGGACATTTTTATGAAAATATTCAATTCTTTTCTTATTATAAAATTATAACTATGTTCAAAAAGACTAAGGGATACAGTAAACTATTTTATTTAGGCAATAAATGATGCAATCTGCAGCACAGAACTAAAGCATACCTTACTGTCTCCATTGGTAAGATACTGTAAGCATCTCTGGATAACATGATTACCATTAATATTATGTATATCAGAATCAATTAGTACAGGTATAAAAATATGGTCTCGCAAGAAACCATCCATGATCTTATCATAAAAGCTAAGAGCATTGTTATTCTGTGAAACATTGAGAAATCTATAATATGAGATACGGCATGTGTTAGAGAAGAATAAGGCATTGATCAGAAAGTTTTATTCTATAAGCAAGGACTACAAATAATTTGCAAAAAATATATTATAAAAAGTGGCTACAAAGTTGAAAATGAGAAAAATTAATATGCTAACTATTAAAGTTCTCTTATAATAAAACAGTTGAAATCGTGTAATAAGATAGATAAGAATACATAGGAGAGTAATGTTTTGGAAAAGGGAAAGAATCCATTCAAAAACCGGGTAAAGAGTAAGAGGAATAAGGCACAAAAGTGTTAATTTTTAATTTTCAACTCTGGGTGAAAGCATTCATAAACCTGTAAGGATACAACTACATTTCTGGCAGCTAATTTTGCAAGGTAGCAGAGTTCCCGCATTCTTCATTGGAGTCATTTGACTGGTGATTGAGAACTTCCTCCTCAATCACTTCTGTTTCACTTGTGATAACTGAAACATACTGATGTAGCTGCAACGGACTCAACTCAATTTCTTGAACTTGAATCAGTAATCTTGCAATGATGCTCCAAAGTGCACTTCTTGCTTCTGCATCAGCAGAAGCAAAAGGGAATAGACTAAATAGACCATGTAACAACAAAAGGTCTGAAGATCTCTGTGTTACCAAAAATTATCCTAGGTGGAGCAACTGAAGTCTAAACATGGAAAACTGATGACAAATATCATTTCTTTTAGCAGTAAATCAACTCACCTTGAAATATTTCTAATGCTAGATCATCTGCATCAGTTAGAATATTTGCTAGCAAACAGCAGCAGTAACTCAAGAATCAGCAACTTGTAGGAGATACATCATTTATGGAAAACTGCATCATCTGAGTTTTAAAATGTTTTGCAGCTTTCATATATCCTATTTTCTTATTCATTCCATCAACAGAGATATTTGCACACAATTTATTTACATAATCATGATGCTCATTTGTGTTGTAACAAGAAAATTTTGACAACAGATGAAATTATAGGACTAGTAGCAAAGTTTTGGGCCAAATCACGTGTTTAGAATGACAAGGACTAGTACAAGTTCAACATATGGTTGGCTTTTCCATTTTCAGTTTTTGTTATTTTCTTTAACTAATCTGTGGTAAGTTACATGCTATAACCTTGACTCACTAAGCAAAATTTTCAAAATCTACTGCATACCTCAACCTTTTCAGGAAGTTTGATTAGGTCAGTAATTTTAACAAAAAAAATAAAAAATTACCTGCACGTACAGTTCGGCGGACCAGCTGCTGGCGGTGGAAGTTGCAGAAGCAGCCGCGGCGGCGGCTGAGGAGAACTGTGGCGGTGGAGACGGTGGTGGCGGCGTCGTGGTTGGTTGATGAGAGAGGCGTTGGAGTCCTTATCTTGGTGGTGGCGGCGTTTGATCGAGGCTGAGGGAGTCGTGGTGAGAGAGGCGATGTCAGCGGCGTCGTGGGTGGCGGTGTCGACGGCGGAGTCGTGGTCTATGGTGAGGAGCGACGGTGGAGGTCTGTGATGAGGCGTTGAGGAGAGGTGAGATCTGAGAGCGAGTTGAGATCTGAGAGCTGAGATCTGAGAGCGAGATCTGTTTTTTTTTTTTTTGATCCACGAGTTTTTATTTATTTATTTATTTAGGATTTTCAGATCTAATTTTCGCTGCCTTTTCTTTTAGAAAGGGTAGTAGAGAGTTTTATTAATTAAAAATTAATATAATATCCGCTACCCTTTCTACAAGCAAAGGTAGCGGACAATATATCCGTTTTTTTTAAATAAAAAAACAGCTACCCTTTTTTCTAAAAGGGTAGTGGTTTCTTATCCATTTATTTACAATAATGCCACCGCCCTTTTTATTTTTAACAATACACTACCCTTGTTTAAAGAAGGGTAGTCTAAAGTCATAATTCTTTGCTCCATTTTGTACTAGTGCCTGTCTTTCAAAATGTAGCTAGCTTTGGGTTGCTGGATGCTTAAACATAAGAAATTTCTTATAATCGTGTCTTCTCTACTAACTATAACTTTTGACGTAGTAGTAAGCTAATAAGTGCTTTATTCTAATGCAATTAATTAAATCAAAACAAACCTTTCAGCAGCTGTAGTGAATTTCTCAAGTTCATCGAGAGAACCATACACATCGTACACATCATCGAGTACTGTGACAAGCTTGAATGTTTTTGTCACCGCTTCTCTACTTTTACTATGTTGAGGATCATAAGACATTCCAATTGCCCAAAATAAGCTCTCCATTAGCCTGTTCCTAGCAAAGCTCAACTTGTCTGCTAACGCTGTATCTTTCCACCACCTAGTATAGAATCCATCCATTATATATATTGCACACAAAATTATTAATAATTAAGAAAAAATAATCAATGGTTTGGATGTTAAACATATATACTTTGCAAGATGTTGTAGATCTGTTTGATACACAGCTTGAACGGTGTTGAAATCAATCTTTGCGAGTGCTAACAAGGCTTGATTTAGCTCTCCCGATTTGGAGTAGGATTGGATGTTCCTCCTTGCCTCTACCCTTTCCACTCTTCGGTGAAATGGAAGCTCCAATGCATGCTTCACTTCTTCTGCACTTCTTGGATCAATCCTATCCTTAATAATGCAGCTGTTTAGATGCATACTTGTCACTTCTCTCGCCTCTTCTAATATCTTCTCCCCTTCATATCCCAGAAACGAAGCTTCGTACAAACTCAACAACCCACGGACGTCTTCTTCACCAATGTTGTCCATGAATTGTTCAAAAACATCTGCCCAGAAATATATATTATTATGATGTAGTTTAAGATCGAATTTCCATACACTTATTATACCTAATAATTATTATACCTGGAGAAATGTCAAAACCATGCTCTCTCAGCAATCTAAAATACAAAGAACAAGAATGGAGGTTCATGTTTGTAGCTTCTTGTCCTTGAGACATCCTTAATTTAGTCAGTGCTCTACTGCAACTTTCTTTGAATTTGTAGCCTAGCCCTAAACGACGAATATCATCAATCAACTCAAGCAAGGTAACCACTTCCAGTTTCCCCTCATCAAGCACGTATCTCACTTCTCCCTCCAACTTCTTTCTAACCTCCTCTTCAACTCCCAACTAAAAAGATAATAATATACACAGAATTATTTTTACTTTCGAATACATTAAACGCCATTATATTATTTAATACCTTGTATGCACAAACACAAATATATATAATAGTACCTGTTTTAATGTATGGGAAATGCTAAGTATAGTTGTAGGGAATTATACTTCTATTACTCATCATCGATTGGATTGGATGAGGGAAAACAACAACAAAAAAAAGTTGTTTAGCAAACACTCATATTAATTGTTTGACTAGTCAAACAAGTTAAAGTTTGTTAAACATGCTAGGTTTTGGCGGATAATAAGTCATATTTCAAACACCCAATAGGAAATAAAATTAAGAAAACATAGGATAAAATTAAACTGTCTACCTCCAAATCATTGGTTGTGATGTTCACCAAATCATCGTAATTCCAAGAACTAGGTTGGTAGTTTGCGGAACGTCTAGTAATTTTGTGACTTTGTACATTACTTGTTTGACATCGAACTTGTCTGGCCAAGTTAACACCGTAACGAGTAAGAAGTAATGTTTTTGGCTTAGAATCTTTAGGGGGATTGTATTGAGTTAAGAAGCAACAACCCAAGTTTAGAAACTCAAGATGATTAGCCATTGGTTGAGTGTAGCAAATTGAGCAAAGGGCAGCTTTGTGTTTTTTTTTTGAAACCGGCAGCTTTGTGTTACTTGTGAACAATTTCATAATTGGAGATTTCTATCTATTTATGGATATCCCTGCTTATAGTAGTTTGGGGAGTCATGGGTATCCATTCGTTTTGACTTAGTGTGCTTTTTTGTTTGGTTTTGCTTTTATTATTGAGTGGGCTAATACAAGCGTAACTGTGTGTTGACTTTGTTATTCAATTCTCAACTTGTTATATTATTATTATTATTATTATTATTATTATTATCATTATTATCGTTATTATCGTTATTATCGCTATCGTTATTATCGTTATTACTGTTATTATTATTATTATTATTATTATTATTATTATTATTATTATTATTATTATTATTATTATTATCATTATTATCATTATTATTATTATTCTTATTACTGTTATTACTGTTATTATTATTATTATTATTATTATTATTATTATTATTATTATTATTATTTGTTTTAATGAATTGATACGGATCGGAGTATTATTTTTATATATAAGATAGTTACTTTTGTGTATAAGAGGCTAAAATAATTAGTACAGAAATTTAATCCTCATCTTATTTAGTCCTCATCTTATTACATAGAGTTCGATGAAGTCAAGGAAATCTAGGTTATTCCAAAAAAAAAAGTCAATCTACATTATAATATATTATTAATTAATAGGCATGCATGTATCTGAAATGCAACTTGTATGATTTTTAATAAAATTGGGTTGTTGAATGATGGTGGTGGTGATAAATAAGATTATTACATATTAATTAATAGAAACATTGTCTTTGTCGAACATTAGATGATAATGATCGATGATGATTTGAAAATTGAAAATTAATTTAAATTACTATATATTAAGTAATAAACATGAATTTAAAATGCAACTTAATTGAATGACTTAGTCTAATATTAGGTGAGATTTGAAACTCTTTTTTATATGCAACTTTATCTCAATATAATATAATATTCAAAGTTTATCCATACTAAAACCATCTGGAAAAAGCAAATATTTAAAAGTTACCCACATTTTGAGGCTAATCAATAGTAAATGATAAAAAGTATAAAAATAAGTGAAATGATGGATCTAGATTATGGCAAATGGTAATGTGGAAGTGTTGATTGTTGTTCGATCTTGTTCCACATTAAGGGGATGTTTGGTTGTGAATTTTTGTACCCAGAGTATTTATTACTATGTTTGTTTATTTTTGTTATTCTACCATTGAAATCAAAATTCTTAGTAATTACAAAACTCATCCATTACCCTTTTACTCATTTAATTTTGAATAATAGAATTAAAAATAAGGGAGAATTTTTTATAAAAAAAAAATAAGGAGAAAAAAATAAAAATAAAATAAAAAAGGTTATTCGCCATGCATTAAAAATGGAATTTTAATATATATATACACACACACACACACACACACACATAAGTATATATATGTATTATATATTTGTATATATTTATTTATTTTTATTTTTATTAATTAATTAAGTAATTATTTATTTATTTATTTTGATTCTAATTCCTAGACTAAACGTAACAAAGTGATTCCTCCTACTTAAACTCATTATCACTACCAAGTATTTGATTCGCATTACCATTCCAATTTCAATATTTGAACCAAACACATCCTAAAATTTTAATGAAACTTTTTCTATGTATATATAGGGTATGATCAAATGAGAGCATAATCTTTCTATAAAAAGTGACAACTGATCTTAGCCTTCATTAAGGTTCATCAATGGTTGAAAGTTCTAGTAAAAAAATACATGATCAATTTTATATTTTATATTTATAAAAAGGATATCATATCTTTTCCTTATTTTTAGTAGATCTACACATATCGATGTATAAGATTAGTCCTCACCTTTTTTTTTTTTTTTTGGGAGCATGTTCTCACATAAACTTTTCCCTATATATACAGGGGTGTGTTCAAATGAGAACAAACCCTTCATGTAAAAAGTAAGGACTGATATCTCAACTCTCTATCGAGTTTATCAATGGTTGAAAATTTTGGTAAAAATATACATGAGTCAATTTTATAATTATTGTTATAAACTTTCAAGTTTACAATATTTATAAAACTAACTACACCTATTTTCCTTTAAAAAAAAAAAAAAAAAAAAAAACTACACCTATTTTTCCTTATTTTTCAGCAGCTTTCAATCATTGATCCATCCAAATGGAGTCCATGTTTTTAGAGTTGACCATGTTTCTTATATTCTTCAATAGTAATAATATATTTAGACGCCAAGCACATTGTGCTCAAATGGCATGTAGTGATATCCCATATAGGAGGTCATGAAATCGAACCTCAGTGAAATTGTATGTTTGAACAAGTTGACAGATATTACAATGTAATAGAATCAGTAGCATTCAAAAATAATATATTTAGACATTATATATATTAGAGTAATATAATAATAAATAAATTTGATTTCATTTAGTAATTAAGAATTTATTTAAAATATAAATATCAAATTTAT